TAATGCACAGTACTCCAATACTTAATAAAGTTAATAAATATTTAGATTTATAAAGAGTTTAGTCAAATCTTTAAAAACAAATGTGTTACATTTTAAGTGACTAAAGCATTTTCGATAATTTGTTGACTAAAACTAAAGTTGAAAAACGACTAAAGCAAAAGACTCAATCATAATTTGTTCCAAAGACCCAGACTAAGTCCACTGTTAGTCGTCAAATTGAACACTGCTGTAAATTCAGTCGTCTCTCTTCTGTCAGAGTTGTTTACACTCCTCCTGGAGGACATCCTGGTGCTGCTGCAGAAAAAAAATGAACGCCTTATCCTCAAGTGTCACAGCAAAAACCTGGCGGGCACCGCAGACACCAAACACATCTTCAGCCCCATCATCAAACTCAACACGGTGCTGGTGCGATCAGTGGCCACAGGTCAGTCAGAGAGGCTTTCTTCCTGCACCTGTGGATGGCAGAGTTTTACTAAGTTTGTCCTCTATGCTTTACACTGTCCAGACAACAAGTCCTTCTTCGTCCTTTCTATGTCCGAAAATGGAGCCCAGATCTATGAGCTTATGGCGCCCACAGTCGCCGGTCTAAAAACGTGAGCACAAAGATAAGATGGATTGAGTTTGAATTGTTTTCGTGTTTTACAAATGGACTAATTATCTTTTTTTTTTTTTGCTCACTAAAGTTGGCAGGAGTTAATCATCCAGAGAGCTGATGCCATGAAGGTCAAACCTCACAACATTCTACCGTTACCTCAGAGCAGGTATGTGGCTAAAATGTAGTATTTTTAAGTTTACTTTTCTAAGTTAGTTAGTTCCCAGGTTGTTTTTGACATGATCTGATCTTGTGTGTCAGTGGGGAGAGAGATGGAATGGATACCATCACCGCAGGTTTCTCCAAGCTAAGCAGAGACCCCGACTGCACGTCCACAGGGTGCACACAGTCCACAGGTAACACGCGGACCTCACATAATTTCAACTTAAAAGAATAGAAACGTTCCTCTCTGCTTCTCAAACAGCCTCGTGCTTCAGCAATTTGCAGATAACCCCTTCTGACAAGCGTAATTATGTCTGTGTAGATAAAGAGAGCAGCCCAACTTCTAGGAGAGCACTGCAGAGCCCTGAACCTGGTAATAACCTGTTTGACAGAGTAAAATTTGTGGAAAAGGAGAAGGAGGACGGCTATGTGGACCCAGAGCTTCCTTACCAGGTCTCCGACGATGGCAGAGCAGCAGATTCATTCAACATCTTTCCCTCTAGGGCAGCTGAAGCTCTGAAAACATGTAAGACAAAAAAACACTGAAGGCAAGTGCAGGTGGTGAAAAACAACCTGAAGTCACTCTTCTTTTTTTTTCACTCCTTCAGTGGCAGCGTTGAAGCAGGAGCTGGTCACACAGCTCATGTCTCAAGAGCCCATAGAGCAAACCAAACAATCCACGGGGGCTCGTCTCCTCAGGGCCACCTCACTGCGAACGCCCATTGACAGTCGTGCCCGGGTGATGGCACACAATGGCTCGGACAAGAACAGCACCCACACCGAGGACCAGGCTCAGGACCTGGGTTCTGGAGACACGGGCTTCTTCGACTCTCCCGATGATTATGGTGAGACAGAGACGTCCAGACCTGACCGGGGTCACATGGTGCTGCCTCATCTAAGCTGCTTGGGAGCTCCTTACAATTCAAAATATGTGTTGGGTAACAGTGGACCATACAAGATAATTATTGATTATCTTATCAGTACTGCCAATGAGGACTGGTCAATAATCAATAGGTAAAGATCCATGCCAAACCTTTGTTTTAAATACTCCCAGCAGAATTCTTGGTCCTGGAGGGCTACGGCAGGGCAGGAGAGAGCAGCACAGATGACGAGAGCCGGGCGTCGACCACAGGGAAGCAGCTGAGCAGCGCACAGGGCTGTGCCACTGACTCAGGCATGAATTTAAGATTTTCTTCAACCTCCCAGGCGGGCAGCCTGTCTATCTTCAGTCGACAGGTGCTGTCACATCTCAGAAACCTTCAGTCCAACCTCAACTACCTGAAGGTACTGATGAATTTCTCTTTAAAGCTCATCACCGTCTCGTTGCTCCATAGTCTGACTGTTTTTTCACTTCTTTTTGCAGGATGTTGAGGCCAAGTACAATAATGTATTACGCCCGAGGTCAGAAAGATCAGCGGAAGACTCGGACAGAAACTAAGGTATTTCATTTGAGCATATTGTCTGAATGTGTGTGAATCTGCCAGCTTCTACATATGGACCACTTCCTGTATCGGTCTGAACTGTCACCTCCATCTTTCTGACAGATAAGAGATAGTGGAAGTTCCTGCTGCAGACTTTGGCTCTGCCCCCAAAGAGGAAGTACCAACATGCAGTCTGCTCCTCCTCATTGTGTTCTGGACATTTGGGACATCCTATAAGCTTGTACTCTCACTGCTGACCCCTCCACGACTTTTACTCTCCATCACCAACAGCTGTTGTTGCTACAGCAAATGAGAGACTTGAATGAGAGCAGATATATATATGGCCAGAG